TTATATTCTCTTAATAGAGGGATTTGTTCTAATAGTGTTTGTAAATAGGATATCATGTCTGCATCATGTACAACAAATTACCACTAGGAAGAGAGTATGTAATATGTTAATTATTGAAACTGTCCTACCAATTTGATTTGAAACTGTCTCATTGCTATTTGTTTCTCAATAAAATTATGAAAAAAATACATCTTCCATAAAAAAATAATATGAGCTTGAAAAACTGGAGAAATTACAATTTTTTAAAAGGATAAAAATCTCAAGAGGAAAGTTTAGAAAGTAGAACACTTGAACTGTAGAGATATAGTGAAAGAGTGGACAGACCGAGTGGCGCAAGCTCATGATGACCCTAAAGGGGAAGTGGGCGCAAATGTGACATCTGATTCATCCACCCACAGTGGCAGGCCCCGCACCAGGTGCCTCTGTACAGTTTCCCTCTTCCATGCAACTTTGCTTGTTGCAGTTACCAGGTAAGATAAAGGAGTGACCTTCTGCAGGAACCCTTCCCTGATGTCTGCTGGTCCCAGCTCCTTCCATTGAGCTACTCCAGTGTCCTGGTGGAGCTCTTTCATTTTGGTTACTCCCATGGTTTTGTGATTGTAAACTTGTCAGTCTTCTTGGTGGGTTGGCCCTAGAACTTTTAATCTCCTTGAAATGTTACCTGCTTTTGTGTTTGTTGAATGAATGAGTGAAGCGCTTCGCGGTGGAGCTTTGAGTTCCCAGTGTGTCCTGTGGCTATTGCAGCCTGAACTTCAGATAGAGCCAGTGGTAAGAATGAGGGTCAAGGGCAGCCCGTGAAGCTGAATGTCTCATGTACAAGTGTGGCCCCTCTGCATAGGCTGCTTCTTTTCCTCCTCCTGTTTCTTCCCCTCCCTTTTTCCTTCTCCTTATGTGCAGGGGTTAAACCTAGAGCCTGGTACATGCTCAGCGCGCTGCCCACCAGTCACCGATATCCCCAGCCCTTTTATTATTTATTATTTTGGAACAGGGTCTCCCTGAGTCACTGAGGTTCCCAGGCTGTGCTCAAACTTCTGATCCTCCTGTCTCCGCCTCCTGAGGAGCTGGAATTACAGTAGTGTACCACCACGCCTAGTTTATGTGATGATTCTTAGGAAATCTTCTTATGCTTCTGCCCACACTTGCATGTGTCAGCCAGTAGGACGTGCCTGGCCTCTCAGGGAGCATGGTCGGAGACCCTGCCACGCGGAGTCAGATTGGGCAGTGTGGCAAACTCTTCTTTGTTTTGCAGGGATGAACGGAATCAGTCTATCATCGTCAGTGGAGAGTCTGGAGCAGGAAAAACAGTGTCAGCCAAGTATGCCATGCGCTACTTCGCAACCGTGAGTGGCTCTGCCAGTGAGGCCAACGTGGAGGAAAAGGTCCTGGCCTCCAACCCCATCATGGAGGTAAGATGGCGGCTCCCCCAGCGCCTCTCCCTGCTGTCAGTTGAGGGACGTGCCCAGATCACTGACTGCGCGTGTGTCAAGAGCTGCGGATCTCCTAGCCACAGAGTGAGGAGAACACTTTTCTCCACATCAGGGAGCTGGCTAGGAGCCCTAGAGATTCCCTCCTAGACACTGAGTGAAGCCCAGCAGTGCAGGGATCTGCTTTCACGCACTGCCCTCATGTCCAGCCTTCCTGCTGAGCTGAGCTGTGTCTGCAGGCGCAGGCAGCGTACCTCACTTTCCGTTTCTTTCCCATAGTTGACTCACTCCCTTGTTTCTTCCCCTGGAAGTGTAACTCATGTCCCCATCCACGCTTTGCCCACATTCATTTTTGTGCTTAATCCTACCTGTTTAGTGGTAGAGTTTTAGCAGGAGATTTAAATGCTTCCCAGAATTCAAATTCTATATTTAATCTATTATCTCATGAACATAATTCTTTTAGTTTTTGTTAAGTTTATCACATAGGATAAATTAGTAAAACAAATTCAGTAATTATAAGTTTCCGAGGCAGGAAGAACTGCAAAAAAGAATGATGTAGTTTTCAAAAGCCAAGCACATTTACAAAGTAAAAATGTCTATGCCAAAGAAATTGGAATTGGTTATATGAGAATCTGAGTATTTTAAAAATCTGAAGCTTGAAGACTAGTGTGATTTTTTTTTTTTTTTTGAAATATTGACGTTTTATGAGAAAATAAGTTTCACTAAGGGAGAGCAACTAGGTTGGACATGCAGAAACAACACTTTCTTGTTATACCTAGTTATCTTATACCTAGTTATTTTATATGAAATTAACTTAGTAAACATTTAGTGACCCTTTTCTAACTACACTGTTTTTTTTCTTTACCCCCCCCCCAAAAAAAAAGGAAGCATGTCACCTATACCAGAAAGAAAACATGACATTTTAGTTTAAGGTTATATAAAAAATGTGGTAGAAAGTTACCATCTCTACATTTTTGTTAAAAATTCAAATCATGTTCTGTACAACTAATGTGCATAATAAAATGCTTCCAAACCCCCAGCAGCACTTCCTTATTCGGTCTTTCCTCTGCCGAGCGCACTGGTCACCTCAGCCCGGAACGAGTTGCTTGGGCCCGGCGCACCTGTGGTGCTGTTGTGCAGGCATCTGTCCACAGAGGTAACCGTGCCTGGCTTGCAGTGCGTGTGTGACACTCAGAGCAGAGTGCTGTGACCTGCTGTCCTGTCCGCAGGGTGCCCTCCAGGGCCCGGCTTCCTTAGGGGACAAAAGGACAGACATGCTGGGGACACACGTGGGGTGGAAGACGAGAGACGTGTTGACAGGGTGGGCAAGAAGAAGCTGCCCTGGGTGCCAAAAGACAGGAGAGGGAATGTATGTGAAGCAGAGTGGGACTCTGAAAGAATTTGGTTGTGGATGGAGCAGTGGGCACCACTGGTGCTAAGACTAGGAAGATACAATTTGTTGCCAGTTTCTTATTTGGGGTTAGAAAACAACAGGGCTCTGCTTCCTAACATTGTTCTCACTGGTTTTGTCAAGACAAAAAATTCCTAGAATCCGGCAACAATTCAGGCTGTTCAATAGTCATCTTCTTTTTTAGCATGACTGGGGATTGTTCCTAAGTCCTTCCCACTGAGCTATGCCCCAACCCTTTTGTCAGCTTTTTGAGACAGGGTCTTGCTAAATTACGAAGTGGCCCAGAGTGGACTTGAGTTGGGAGTCCTTCTGCCTAAGCCCCTCAGATCGTGCTGAGATTATGTGCTCATACTGCCATGCTGGGCCCCAGTGTACTTTTTTTTTCTTTTGGTGCCGGGAATCAAACTCAGGACCTTGTGTTTGCCAGGTAGGCGCTGTGCTCCCGAGCTATCTCCCTGGCCCCCCAGCCTACTCTTAATGTTAGACTACCCTAAGTCTGGATTGAGATGGCAGTAGGGAACTTGCGTCTTCTACTGCACCTTATAAAACTAGGATTTGAAGCTGTCTTAGGATAACTTAAGTGGAGAATGAGTGTTTTAGAATATGCCAAAAGATGAGTGAACCGTTCTATGACAGTTGCTGGGCCTAGTGGTGCACGCGCCTAGTGGCAGCTACTCGGAGCAGTGGCAAGCTGGAGACTAGTCGGGCACAGAAATACCAAGATGTGGCCCCATACTCTGGCTCAGTCCCCAGTGCTGCAAAACAGAAATCGCTGCATTGGTTTCCTGCAGTACAGGCCAGAATTTGTTATTGGGAACAAGATGAAAACGTGGAGTGGATGAATTCTTACACATTCTATGCAAAACTACCACTGAATTCATCCCCAGCCCTTTTATTTTATTTTGAGATAGGGACTCATTTATCTAAACTGGACTCAAACTTGCGATCCTCCTGTGTCAGCTTCCTAAATCGCTAGGGTTACAGTTTGGGCCACTGCACCTGATTTAGGCGCTACTTTTTGACATGCAGTTGTAAGGAATTTGTGACATTTGCCTCGACAAACAGAAAAGATAAAGATATCCTTAATGGTTAATTATTTCTCTCTATATTCTTGTTTATTCTGTCTATAGGGATTTGTGTTAAGAAAATTTTGCTAGAGTTAGAAAAATAATTTTCAGAAGAGCTATCATAGATTGAGAGACAGAAATGGAACACTGAGCTAAAGAATGGCACCAGAAGATTGACAGTTACTAGAAGGAAACATTAGTAAAATATTGAGGATATAGTTGGAAAATGCATAGGATTAGTGTACGTGTTCCCAAAGCGAGCACAAAACTTGTAGGTGTATAAGACCAGTGCTCCAGCCCTGAGCTGTGGAGCCCCTACTTGTAGATTCACATGATCTTTAAGACTGTGTCTCTATGTTGGAACTTTTCGCTATGACACCGAGAAAAGACCCAACCACACGAGGTGTTTACCTTTGTCTCAGTGCTCTCAGAGGCTGAGGCAGGAGGTCGTAAGCGTGAGTTCAGCCCAAGCAACTTTGTGATTTACTGAGACTCTATCTCAAAATTAAAAAGGAATAGAAACATAACGCAGTGCCAAGGCAGGCCTGGGTTCAATTCTGCAGTACCACGAAATAATAGATCGAAAGGAACGTCAGGTCCCTGGAGACCGGTGGGAACTCCGCCCTGGGAGTGCGCTCTGCACACGGGTGACACTCAGCCCCGTGACTACCAAGGTCTGCACGTCGTCCTTTGGGAGCAAGAGTCTCATCCTCCGCACAGGCTCTTGGCAAACATGAGTGATGGCTTTTTCCTCTGTTTTATCATATATTTTCTTTATCTCCTGCAAATTTTCATTTAAGGTGAGGGCAGGGAGGATTCCTGGGGCACATTGGATCGTAATAATTGTTTTCTTCATCTTCAGCAACACAGCTGAAGATTTTCATGTCCATTTTATGAAGAATACTAACCCACGAGGCGTTTCACGAAAATGAGTGGTACCATCCTTATCCCAACATTTCTCTCTTGGTAGTTTCTTCCTGATTGAAGTGAAAATGACATTAGAGAGTCTGCTATAATATTCCTTGTTCTCTTTTTTTAAATTCTAAAGAAGTGCTTAAAATGTTCATCTAGGGGCTGGAGAGATGGCTCAGTGGTCTAAAGCACCTACTTGGAACAAGGTTGGCAAAGCACAGGGACCGCGGTTCGATCCCCAGCACCACATGCCAGCCAGCC